TTTAGGGTTTAGGGTTTAGGGTTTAGGGTTTAGGGTTTAGGGTTTAGGGTTTAGGGTTTAGGGTTTAGGGTTTAGGGCTCAAGGCCCTGCAGCTTTTGTCTGCCCCGGGCTCATCATCACTCTCGTCGCAGTGGCTGCGAAAGGCAAACCGCTGCACAGCAGCCGCCTCCGCTTCAGGGCTTCAAGGTAGGGTTTAGGGTTTAGGGTTTAGGGTTTAGGGTTTAGGGTTTAGGGCTTAGGGCTTAGGGTGTATAAGGTTTAGGGTTTAGGGCTTCGGGGCTTCAAGGCTTCCGAGATGGAATTGCTTGAACGGGGCCCTGAAAACTCCTGAGCCACGAAAACAAAACTCTAAGCCCTAAAGTACCCTGAAAACCTGAAGCCCTGGACCCAAAAACCCTCAACCCCAACGCCCAAAACGCCCAGCAAAAACCTCCTAAACCCGAAGCCCTAACCCGCCCTAAACCACCATAAACCTTAAACCTCAAAACCCCAATCCTAAGCCCCAAACCCCAAACCCGAAACCCCAAACACTAAACCCTAAACCCCTAAACCCCAAAACCCCAAAACCCTAAAACCCAAACCCCTAAACCCCCTTACCCCTAACCCTAAACCCCAAACCAAATAAACCCGAAACCTCAAACCCCAAACCCTAAACCCCTAAAGCCCAAACCCGAAACACTAAACCCCAAAGCCTAAACCCTGAAACCTAAACCCCTAGACCCCACACCCCAAACCCTAAACCCCAAACCCCAAACCCTAAAACCCTATACCCTAAACCCCAAACCCCAAACCCTAAACCCTAAACCCCAAAACCCCAAGCCTCCTCAGGCCGCCCCGCCGCACGGAGGGCCGCCGCCACAGCGGGCGCAGCGCGGAGGCCGTAGGCCACGTTGCCTTTGACAAAGGGGAGGTTCAGGGGGTTTAGGGTTTATAGGGTTGAGGGTTTAGGGTTTAGGGCTAGGGTTTAGGGTTTAGGGTTTAGGGTTAGGTTAGGGCTAGGGTTTAGGGTTTAGGGTTTAGGGTTTAGGGTTTAGGGTTTAGGGTTCAGGGTTCAGGGTTTAGGGTTTAAGGTTTAGGGTTTAGGGATTAGGGGCTTAGTAGGGATTTAGGGCTTAGGGTTTAGGATTTAGGGTTTAGGGCTTCGGGTTTAGCTGTTTAGGCTTTAGGGTTAGGGTTTGGGGGGACCTTTTGAGCAAGATTTGAAAATGTATTACCGGCCTGGGCCTGGCCGCTCGGACCGAACTTCCACAGACCTGAAATGTCTTAAGTGAAGCAGTCACCGTAGTACCGCCGCAACAATTGTGCGGCACAGCATGAGGATTCGCACCGGACCAGCAGCCCGGTTGACACTCCAGCGCTTCAAAGATGATCAAAGGCCATGTGTGGCTGATGCTTGAAACAGCCACACTGATAGCTGTAGCCTTCTACCCTCAAGGATTTTGACCAGTCTGTCGACCAAATGGACTGTCAGAGACAGGCAAACACGTATGCGCCCAGGCATGCATACCCCATGCCATGGACCGGCACTCATAAAGAGCAAGGTTCAGGGTTTAGGGTTTAGGGTCTAGGCCGGTTTAGGGGACAGGGTTCAGTTCAGGAAGCGGTCCAGCTTCGGCCCAATGAATGGCGGACTTATCTTCGCGTTTGTCAGGGCGTCTTCGCAGACTCACGCCTCCTGTTGGAGATAGTTCTGCAGAATACTCCCCCTTGTAAAGCAGCTCGGCGAATGGCCAGTGTTTGAAGTCTGACCCTTTTACACTAGAAGTGACCCACAGATTTCAAACAGCCCTAAACCCCAAGCCCAAACCCGAAACCCTAAACCCTAAACCCCAAACCCTAAACCCTGATCTGCGGACGTGGGGGAAACCTTTATAGGTCGCCAGCGCAAAAAGAACCAAAACTGGGAAGCCTGCGATGAGTCAGCGCCAGATTGGCTGAGGGTTTGGGGCAGTTGGGGTTTCCAACCCTAAACCCTAAACCCTAAACCCCAAACCCCAAACCCTAAACCCTAAACTTGTTTGGAGTTTGTAGGGCTCAGGCTTCGTGAAATTGCATCCAGAAGGCGTGTGAAGGCCACGCAGAGGGTGGAGAGGTTCAGAACACAATGCCACCAGCCGGGTGGTATGTAGAGGAGATCTCCCGCCTGCTCTGCGCGAATTCAATGGGATGCTCTAACATAGCGGCCTTTGGTCTTGCCCTGAGAGTATATAGGGATCAACAAGGGATAACGTCTGTACTTGTTTCGGCTCCGGTACGCCTCGCAGGCTCCGCTGCTTTTGGTTCAGGGTTTCGGGTGCTCCTCTTCCGCCGGGTCTGGTCACTTAGGGTTTAGGGTTTAGGGTTTAGGGTTTAGGGTTTAGGGTTTAGGGTTTAGGGTTTAGGGTTTAGGGTTTAGGGTTTAGGGTTTAGGGTTTACTGTGAGTATCACGTCGCAGATGCCGACCTGGGCAAGCCTGTTTGTTCTAACCTAGGATCAAACTCCCGGCCCTGACTTTTCTTTTCGTAAGGAATGCCCTTAAAACTTTAAAGCTTCTAGAACAATGATACACCACACCACCCCGTCATTCAGGGCATATCGAATCTAGGTTCCGCAGTACTAGTAGCCTAGGACACAAAAAAGGGGCGCCCTAGTTGGTTTATTTCGGCCAAGGCAAGGGCACTACTGGGCATCCTCGATAATCACCCTAAACCCTAAACCCTAAACCCTAAACCCTAAACCCTAAACCCTAAACCCTAAACCCTAAACCCTAAACCCTAAACCCTAAACCCTAAGTCTGCCTCAAACTGAGGCCCTTCGAGGGGGGCTCCCCCTCTGCCTTGGTCACAACATCGATCGGAGGACGCTGCTCGGGCGGCAGGGAGGGCAAAACCTGGACTCTGATCGGCTTAGGGCGTTTACCAAGGCTTAGGGTTTAGGGTTTAGGCGGTTTAGGGTTTAGGGTTTAGGGTTTAGGGTTAGGGTTTAGGCGGTTTAGGGTTGAGGGTGTACGGTGTAGGGCTGAGGGGCTTTAATTTAGGGTTTAGGTCTTAGGACAGGGTGGAGGGTTGGTGATGAGGGTGTTCAGGGTGAAGGGAACAAGAAGCAATGGATAATTCACATCTGCCGGCTGGTTGTTAGTCTCCGAACAGCCGCTAAACCCTTCTCAAAGCCTACAACCCGAAGCCCGACGACCCCAAGCCCTTCCCGCGTAAGCCGAACGCCCTACAGCCGAACCCCGAGACCATGCAACCCTTCCTACAGATGAGCTCATGTGCATTGCTAGCCCAGTACCACGGGGATTGTAAGGAGTAGTTATTCCTTACTGACAGGATTTCCTAGACCCCACCCTTTTTCTAACTAGCGCAGACGGGCTCCCAACAGGCTTGTGGAAGATAAATAATGCACGGACGATGAGGGCTGTACCAGTGAAACAAGTCCAACATCCAACAGACCTTACGAACCCCAAACCTGCCTTTTTGTGGGTTCCTCAGAACCCTACAAGGGGTATGATTTAAAAGCCCTGTAAAGATGCGGGGTGTTGGTTGCTACTGTCAAACCTAAACTCTAGAACCCTAAACCCTAAACCCCGAACCCTAATCCCTAAACCCTTATAAACCCTAAACCCTCATCCCTAAACCCTAAACCCTCTGCCCTCAGCCTCGGAGAACCAAAGGCTGGGTGAAGGCGACGCGAAGCGACCCGGCCCCATGTCAATCACGCCTCGTTCACGAGCTCTTGTCGGAGGGGTTTAGGGTTTAGGGTTTAGGGTTTAGGGTTTCGGGTTTAGGGTTTAGGGTTGAGGCTTCACGGGAAGCCCGGAAACCCGAAACCCTAACTCAGTTTAGAGGATGGTAGAGGGTGGAGCGTGGAGGGAGGAGGGTTTCAGGGGCTCGGGCTCCGGGTCCAGCAGGGCTTAGCAGAGTTGAACCTGTTCATTGTGCTTCTACGCCATGTGCTCTGAAGGAAATGGAGCAGCTCAGCCCTGTCTTGTCTGTTTTGTGTTGCTGGAAGTGCTTTTGTTCGGGTTAGCTAAAGAAGCGCAAACGATTTTTGTGGTAGGTTATCTAAGAATCCGAAAATGCGTACGATTCTCATAACGTACAACGCAAGTGTAGGTTTGGGGTTGTTAAGATAAGACATCAGCTCCAGGGCATCAGCTAGAATCAAAAATGCCCCAGAGGTTGAAGCCGCGCACGGGTTTAGGGCTTAGGGTTTATAGGGTTTAGGGTTCAGGGATGTTTAGGGTTTAGGGTTTATGCTTTCGGGTTGAGGGCTGACCGCCTGGAGGCCGCGGCCCGGGTGGGTAGAGCGCCCAGCGCTTGCGGCCTTCGAGGCAAACGCTCCTGAGGAATCCCCGGCCAACAGACGTCATGGGTTTCCCTACTACCCCCCTCGAGAGGGGGGTTTAGGGTTTAGGGTTTAGGGTTTAGGGTTTAGGGCGTTTAGCGTTTAGGGCTTAGGGTTTAAGTTTTACTACCCCCCCCCCCCCCCTAAGTTGCCCCCTAGTCAGGCTTAAGGATCCCTAAATAGCCTGAACAATGGGGGGAACGTAGTATAGAGGGAAGGATGGATCAAACGCAAAGGAGTTCCAGCCAGACCTACAATTTTGTGGGTTATTCTCACATTCCGCTTATAGGATTCTTAGGGAACCTACGAAGAAGTAGGCTTTGGGTTCACTCCGAGGGAGCCTCAAACATTCTGCTGCTGCACTTAGTTCTTAGACACTTGGGGGGTGGGGCGGGGGGTGGAAGGGGTGGGGGTTGGGAGTTTAAAAGAAGGGAGGGAGGTCGTGTAAAGCAACTTACAACCTACCACCCATGGCCATGAAACCTTTTCAAGTCAAAGTTAGGGCCCTTCACAACTCTGCTTTCACTTCGTGCGCTGCCTGTACCACCGAAAAGTCTCTAAACCCCAGCACGATGTAGGGAATCAACGCCACAAAGGGGTTTTGCTATGATGAACTTTTACTATCAGCTGTTTCTTAGGAAGTAAAGTGCCCAAAAACAAAATCCAAGTATCCCTAAGTTTGGCTGAGGGATCGTGACAACCTGCTCTTCTGCAGGCTCCAAAAAGATCGTACAGACGTCCAAAGCTAGACTCCATAAGCCGTTACCCTACGGACCCCAGCAAAAAAACTAAACCCTAAACCCTAAACCTAGACCCGAAACCCTAAACCCTAAACCCTAAACCCTAAACCCTAAACCCTAAACCGTGCCCTGTGTCGCCCTGATATCCTAAACCTAAAGCCCATGAACCCGAAAACAGTTAAACACCCGAGGGTTTAGGGCTGAGCGTCCCGAGCTTCGAAAAGGTTTAGGGTTTAGGGTTTAGGGTTTAGGGTTTAGGGTTTAGGGTTTAGGGTTTAGGGTTTAGGGTTTAGGGTTTAGGGTTTAGGGTTTAGGGTTTAAGGTTTAGGGTTTAGGGTTTAGGGTTTCTAAACCACTGAGCAAAAAAAGCCGTGGATCCAGGCCCCGCAGCCGTAGGCGTCGGTGTGGAAGCGGCTTCCGCTGCCAGCGCCTTGGCGAGACCCAAGAGTAACCTAGGAGTAAAACGGGTACGCTTTTTAGGGCTTCGGGTTTAGATCCAAGAGGAACCTAGGAATTAAAAGGGTACAAGGAGGGGCCCCCTTACTGTACTAATTAAAGTTAAGGGACCTATAACCAACGTTAGGATCCTTATAACACAATTTAACCCAGGAAGAAAGGGTAATTAATGCGGGGGCCTGAATAATTTGAAGAGGGTTTTGGAGGGTTATTATTGTATGAATTTTCTCGGGAAAAGGGGCACCCTTTACGGGGTGGTGCTTTGGGCCCTTTGAAAATTGTTTCTGAATAGGTTCCCGTAAAAGGGAAAGAAGGGAAATTTCAAAAATTATCCCAAAGCACTACCCAGTTTTTGGTTTTAAGGGGATTGTGTAAGGGAACCCCAACCCTAAGAAAAGGAAATAAGGGCCTACTCCGGGTCCTAGTTGGTGAGTTGCTCAAGGGGACGTTCAGGGGGTGCGCTCTTCAACCTTGTTCCCAAAAGCTCCGAGGACTCCTTTGCTAAGGTTTTTGGGCCCAAACGGTTTAGGGTTTAGGGTTTAGGGTTTCAAAGGCCTTATGATAAACGGGGTTTTTGGGCTATTTTGAGCCTAAGGGTGCCTGCTGCTCAGTAGTTCATGAGGACATCGGCAGCTTTCTTTCATGCTGCCAAGATTTTGAATGATGGAAACTCTCGCAAGCTGTTATTTGAAGATGATTGTTGAATGACACTGCCAAAATATTTTGGGGAACATATCGGAGATGATCCGTCGCCAGACTGTGAAAAAAGGAACTCACGCCACAAGTTGTTGGAAGACAAGTTCTATTCTTAAATGCTCGGCGATTTGCACTTTCAAGAGCTCCTAGAGACTCGACACATCTTCGGACCCGTGTCAAGGCATTTCGCTTTTTTCTGTATTGTGTTTCAGGATTGGAGGGAAATATTTGGCAAGGATATCAGCGGTCTTCATGCTGCTGAACCATCGGAATTTTTCAAGGCCTTTATGAAAGGAATCTAATTTTTCTTCGTGGTTTGGTGAGGATGTCGAGAAAATGTCTTTCCTTTTGCCAAGGCCTTGAGAACTAGATTAACACCACCGAAACACCGGGAAGCAAGTGTGTGTGTGTGTGGGCCGGTAGTCGTGGATAGTTTGGAGGTCTAGGAGCGTGATCCGAGCCCCGAAGCCCTAAACCCCAAACACGAAGCCCAAACCCTCTTGACACATGACTCTGAAAAACCTGAACCCCTAAACCTGACTGTTCTTATTCGCGAACCAGGGAATTGGGTGCCCTATTCCATGCTTGAAGCACAATATATAGAGGGAATATACCCGACAGGAATCAACCCCCACTGGGAGGTCTACTGATGTTAGAGCTGTTCCTTGACTTGCTAGCCCAGGAACATAAAATAAGCATACCCTCTTCGGGGTCGGTTACTTCATAAGACAACCTTGATCCAAAGAAAAAGGGCAAAAGGGCACCACTGGGCTAGCAGGCGGGGGTCAAGATCTTGAAAAAGTTGCCAGAGTCCTTCCTAAACCCTAAACCCTAAACCCTAAACCCTAAACCCTAAACCCTAAACCCTAAACCCTAAAACCTAACCCTGCAGCGCCTCCCATGAGGAGCCACCCTCTGCTGACAGTCTGCAAGGATGGGGCTAGGCCTCGCGGGTGAGGGCCAAGAAACGGGCCTAGGGTTTAGGCTTGAAGCTTTAGCGTTTGGGGGTTGAAGGTTTGAGGTTTGGGGCAAAGTTTGGGGTTTGGGGGTTTGGGGTGTAGGGTGTAGGGCCAAAGAGGGTTTGAACGTAGGGTCCTTCGGACATATCTTATACAAGGCTTATAGCTTGTAGGGCCTATTAAGCCCTTGTAAGCTGTTTAGGTTTAGGGTTGATGTTAACGTATCCTTTGTACGGAATGTTGTGGAAAGGATTCATACTAAAGCTGGTTCTGAAGCAAATCCTCAAAAAGGCTAAAACACAAACACAAAACTGGTGGAATGCCAAAACCACTCAAAACAACATGAGAAAACACAAAGAACACCAGAGGAAGGCAACACAAAATAGTGGCAGATCACATTCTTCTAATCCCTGCTGAAGCATTTTCAGCCTATGGACTCTAAACCTATTAAGCCCCCGAGGAACTGGATCAGCACGGAGACCTTCCAGGGCTGTACCACTGCATAATACTCGCAACTCGTATCTCTGAAGATGATGGCTACACACTACACACCTGAAGAACACCTGAAGCTAACTCTGGCATCCTCACGCCACACAAACCTTGGAAACTGCCACGACCCATTCACCCTTTTAGTCTTGTTCAGAAGTCGCATAGAAAAAGGAATTGAGTCCCCAAACCCTAAACCCTAAACCCTTACCCCGAAACCCTTAACCCTACAGACCTTCAACCCTCAGCCGCCTCGGCACTGTCGCGCGAGGTCGGGGAGGGCGCTGAGCTTTGGCGGGCGCAGAGCGCGCAGGGCCATGGGTGGATTCGGGTCGAAGAGGTACAGCGGCTCCTGCGGCCAGTATATATAGGGGAAGCCTTAATAATAATTAGAATAGGGTCTAGGGTTTAGGGTTTAGGGTTTAGGGTCTAGGGTTTAGGGTTTAGGGTTTAGGGTTTAGGGTTTAGGGTTTAGGGTTTGGGGGGTGGGGTGTTATTATGGTAAAATTTCAAGGGGCCATAAGGGAAGTTCCTTAGCAATTCTTCCGACCCCTATGTTATATTCACCCTGGATGGCCTTTCTTTGGGACATCTTGTATGTTCCCTTAGTGGGTTTAAGAGGCTCACTTTTAGGAATGTTTTTGTCAGAGGGTTTAAGGGGCCATCACGGGCCATCCGAATTCATGAGTCGGTTGGGCTCTAGCTAGGCATTTTGTCAGGGTTTAGGGGGGTGTGGGGCCACGAGGGCTTAAAGCACACGAATAGGCATCATCAGGGTTCACGGGTAGTTCGGCATGTGCGAGAAGTGTAAGTAGCCCGTCACTTGACGAACCCTAAACCCTAAACCCTAAACCCTTAAACCCTAAACCGCTCCGCATCCCAGCGCGGCGGCAGGAAGTCTGCGTTCGCGGCCGCGTAGCGCAAGAAGTCCCGGAGCCGCATGCGGAAGACCTTTAGGCATTGGTTTAGGGTTTAGGGTTTAGGGTTTAGGGTTTGGGGTTTGGGGTTTAGGGTTTAGGGTTTAGGGTTTAGGGTTGAGGACTCAAAGTCAGCAAAACGGGGATGTTTTACCCTGTGCTACTGTCCCATGAAACATACACGGAACCCTAAAGCCAAAACCCTAACCCGCAAACATAGGGTTCGTCTCGAGCCCCCCAAGAGAGACCGAGCAAGAAGGGCTCATGCCTCAGGCTTCGGTTCTCCCCTGAAAGCCCAAACCCTAGTCGATAATTCCCGGCTTAGGGTTCAGGGTTCAGGGTTTAGAGGGTTTAGGGTTTCTAGACTTCTAACCCGAAACCCTAAACCCTAAACCCCAAACCCCAAACCCTAAACCCTATCCTTAAATGCCCTAAAAGGCCCAGGACGCCTGACCGGCTCCCGGCAGGGTCACCGCGAAGTGGCGCCGCCCGAAGCGCCGTCTCAGCCGGCCCGGCTTCCAGGCGCCGGGCCAGCCGTGGAAGAGGGCGCCCAGCCTAGGGTTTAGGGTTTAGGGTTTAGGGTTTAGGGTTTAGGGTTTAGGGTTTAGGGTTTAGGGTTTAGGGTCTAGGGTTTAGGGTTTAGGGTTTAGGGTTTAGGGTTTAGGGTTCAGGGTTCAGGGTTTAGGGTTCAGGGTTCAGGGTTTAGGGCTTACTTCCCAGCCCACTGCAGGGGTCGGAATAATTACCAATAGTCGTTCCCTTCAGGTCCCTATAAAAATGTGCAAACTTCCCTCCCCTCATAGAACTATCATAAGCGTTGCATATGAACACATGTGTTGTTGATTCGTCGCCTGGGTCTTCAGCAACAAGATCAAAGCACAGTTCCCAGGGAGGCTATAGCGAGGTTGAGTCCAGGTTGAGCGATGGAGCTGTTGCTTTTGAGGTGCAATACCAGGACGGGCTATGATACCCTATAACCCCTTCAAAAGGCCCTTTTAGGGTTGATGATGGGGTTAGAAGGCCTAATAGCCCATCCTGGTATGTGAGGAAATCTTGTTGCGTTGCAACGACTCAGGAGAGCGGATGAAGGGTTTCGGGCTTTTCTTGTGAGCGCGGTTCTCTAAGACTACTATTCCCCCACAAACAAAGAAACAATCCCGATATGATTATCCTTGTAAGGATTAGACGTCTGTGTTTTGGGGGGAGGTTCTTAAGCAAATAGTAGAAGAACGCTTTGGTTGCTACAAAGGCAAGGAACACCAGACACTTTCGACAAGCTTGGTTTCTATGGCCAAAATTTTCGGGGACCATCCTTGGGTTTAAGGTTTAGGGTTTAGGGTTAGGGTTTAGGGATATGCGATTCGGCAGCTGTTGACGGGCATCCAGCCAGCACGGCTGGTCCGCGCGCACCGGGCGGTGGTGGCTCTGCCATGGCATGCGCCGCAGGGGCGCTTTGCATCCACGTGCCTGGGCTGGGAGTCACATGGGAGTTTCCGAAAATCTCGGTACCCTATGGTACCCTTTTGGGGGGTGCCTTTAAGGGGTTTCTCTTCTATTTGGGGAATAAAAGGGGTACCCCTATTTTGGGACATACCCACATAGAAGCTGATCAGCACAACGTACGTCCACCGCCACATGAGAGGGGTCCCTTGTACTTGTCGCTACTGCAAATTTCTTAGGGCTCCTTTCGCCTCACTCAACGGACCTGCGGAACCGACTGGACAGAGTAGATACCGAGACTTTCACGAATTCATAATCAGAAGTCCGAAATAGTTGAAGGCCTATACTTTCAATAAGACACGAGCCTCAACCCTAAAACCCTAAACCCTCCACATAGGTTAGGAGCACCCCATACTAAGAATTTCCCCAAGTGAGTCCCCAAGGACCAGGAACCCTCCGCAGGCGGAGACGCTCCTGGGAGAGTTCGACGCGCAGGCGGGCGAAGAGGCGGCCGGCGCTAAAGCCCGGGCCACCCGGAGAGCAGCTGCCTTTGGAGGAATCTAGGGGCCTTAATGATTAGAATAGGTTTTTTTTTTTTGGGGGGGGGGGAGGGGGGGGGCGGGTTATCCTGGGATAAATATAATAAGGAGCCATAAGGGAATACATTAGTAATTGGTCATCTTTTCGAATTGCTATGACCCCCTGTAGTAGGGCTGTGCGTTCGATCAGTTCTCTAGACTATGACCCGAAACGGTAAAACCTGGTGACTCATCCAAGTTCTTGGAGACTCACCGAGATACAACAGGGGGTCCCCCCAAACGGGGACGATCACTTCGAGAAGCAACCCTAAAACCCAAACCCTAAACCCTAAACCCTAAACCCTAAACCCTAGCCCCCAAGTCAATCTCGGTGACAGGCCTTGTCTATGGGGCGGGGGACGGGGGGGGGGGAAGGGGGGGTGGCCGAGAGGAAGGCAACGTCTGCAACAGGAACGAATGGCTTAGGCTGCGGGTGCCCCGAACTTAGGCCTTGCACGCTTTTTGAAAGGGTTGATTCATAAGGTCTACAACTTAGGGTTTATAGGGTTTAGGGTTTTTAGGGTTTAGGGTTTAATTAGGGTTTAGGGTTTAGGGTTTACTAAACCCTAAACTGCAGGGTTCCCTTCAAAAATCCCCCTAAACATGCCCAACCCTTTATGAATTCAAACGGAAGTCCTATAACCCCATTGGCCCCATGGCAAAGCAAAGCTCGAAGCCTGATAAGCCCTAAACTCTACCTAAAGAACCCTATACTTTTGTAGGTTACCCGAAGAATCTTATAAAGCGCATGCTTTAATGACCTACAAGAATGGTAGGGTTTGGGTTGTTAAGGCGTGTTAAACCCTGAACCGCCCAAAAACCCTAAAACACTAAAACCCTAAAACCCTAAAATTCTAAACCCTAAAACCCTAAAACACTACAACCCTAAAATCCAAAACCCCAAGAATTCTGGCGACGCCTCCATGTCTGCATAGCAGGGTGCAGCGCCAGGAGCCCCGAAAAGGCAGCGCCCCTGCTGCACCTGTTAGAGTTTAGGGTTTAGGGTTCAGGGTTTAGGGTTTAGGGCCTAGGGTTTAGGGTTCGGCACTCCGGGGGTCGAGCATGTGGTATAGCTTCATTTACGGCTCAGATATAACACCCACCCACCCAGAGAATCCCACAACATTGAGAAAGCAAAAAACGGCCCTATTCTGAACATAAAGCGGCCCTCATTCTGAAAATGGCGCGGCCTTATTCTGAAAATAAAGCGGCCTTATTCTGAAAACAGATTGGCCTTATTCTAAAAAAAAAACGGCCTTATTCTGAAATTCAAATAGCCTTGGCCTCATTGTGGTCTTATTCTGAAAATAAAGTGGCCTTATTCTGAAATTCAAGTAAGGCATATACATATATATATATATGTTAGAGAGGGTTTGGGGTTTAGGGTCCAACCTCCTCCCTCCTGGCCCTAGAAGCCCAGCGCTGACGGGTCGGATCACAAGCCTTGGGGCATAGGATTAATTAAGGACGACATGAACCCGAAAAGGGCTTAGGGTTTAGGGCCTAAGTTTAGGGTTTAGGGTTAGGGTTTAGGGTTTAGGGTTTATGATTCATAAGACTTTCATAGGGACTTTAGGAGTATAGGGCATATGACAAAGGACGACATGAACCCTAAAAGAGCTTATGATTCATGATACGTTCATAGGGGAGTTTAGTAGTATACCAACTTTAGGGTTCATTTGGTCCCCAAGGAGGGGTCAGAATTGGGTGGTACGGTTCTAACGTTGGAGGGTCAAGGGCTTAGGGCTGAAAGCTTAGGACAAAAAAAGACGTACACCAAAACCCTAAACACGTTGAACAAACAGAACAACCATACGTGACGGGGGGCGAAACCACGACAAGATTTGAAGGAAGTGTAACCCCAACAGCGCGGGGTTGTTGTGGCTACGAACGTGTCTCCAGAAAACTTGTGACCTATAAGTCCGAAACCCGTACCTTCCGGAATGGGAGCCTTCCTCTGGTTTCGGGCTTCAGGGCATTAAGGGTGTTCAGGGCATTTAGGGTTTAGGGTCTCGGGGTTTATAAGTTCAGGGCATGGGTTCTTCTGGGTGTCATAGGGAGCTTGATGGTTGAACAGGTCCAGAGAACACAGGGGCTACACGTCCGCCAGTCCACACTCGCCATTTCCGGGGGGTTTCAGCACTGCACAAAGACATAGTCTCCGGCGCCACCGGCCTGGAGTGAAACTTGAGGCCACTCGGGCATCGCGAATGCGGAGCCGAGTAAGCTCAGTCGGGAAACGCTTGCCTTAGTTGTCCAGCCAGGATTTGAGTACCCCAAAAAGGGTAAAGGTCATAGGACTATAGGGATTTGAATACCCCGAAAAGGGTAAAGGCTAGAGGATTATAGGGATTTGAATACCCAAAAAAAGGGCAAAGGTTACCTACTCTACTACTAAGTTGCCCTGCGTGGGCTTGGAAGCAGCACGCACGTCAAGAGCAAATGCCGGTCGCCGGAGCTCGTTTGAACCACCTGGGCGTTTTCCGAAGGTAGGGGGGTACCTTATTGGGGTTTAGGGTTTAGGGTTTAGGGTTTAGGGTTTAGGGTCCCTTTTGAGAAGGGAATCCTGCTACTGAGGAATCCATATTGGGGGTCCCCTATGTTCGTAAACCCCCACCTGGAGGGTGCCATTGAAAACAGTACGGTCACGGTCACCGGGGGGTCCCAGTCGAAGCTCCAACGCGGCAAAGGACAGCGCTACGTCTTCTTCCTTTGCTTCGACCCAAGTGCGTTCCAAGAACGCGAGCCCAGAGCTGGAGAGTTGTTCGGTCAGGTTCTTGCCAACACATGACGCCTCGGAAGACGCATGGACGACTTGGAGCTCCATGTCGATCTGGAGTGACAGGAACTTGTCATTTGCTATGAAGCTTGTCTCCAAGTGCTGCTCCATTGAACCACCCGCTTCAGACGCCTGGTCTGAGTCGATCTCTACAGGACTGCTGCGCTCTCCTGACAAAGATCGTCGCGCAAGGCTCAAGCTCTCGAGGGCCTTGCTGCCTGTCAAGGAGCCCTGATCGGTGACGTCGCGGAGGCCCAGGAGGTGCCGTGCTTCGCCCCGCGGCGTGTGATACATCACCTGGAAGACTTCGGTCTGAAACCTGTTGGAGTCGCTGTCCTTCAGATGTGTCTGGAAGGCCTGAGCATTCACGCTGTCCGCCGCGCTTTCGTCGAAGCGCCGCAGCAACTCTGTGGCCCGTGCGGCCTCGAATATACACCCCCTTTTCAATAGAGCTCTATCTAATAAGGATATGGGTTTGGGATAGAAACGTTCAGATACCCTAAGCCCTGAACTGAGACTCTCCCATAAGTACCCCTACCTAGATCGACAACTTAGATTTAAAGGGGTTAAGGGTTTACAGGGTTTATGAGGGCTGATGGGGTTTAGGGTTTAGGGGGTGTAGGGTAGCTGCAATTCCTAAAGTTCTTGATGCCCAACATGTATAGGGTTAGCTGACTCGCCAATAGCCTCTGGTCTAGAGAAAAAAGGCGGCATGGGTAGATACCTATCGTCCTGACATTGGGGTCCATACGGGTCTGACGACATGTATGGTACTAGTATAGAGGTTTCTGAAAACTAGAAGTACCCTCTTTGGGTTCCCCCTCAGATGATTGTATTGCGGCGCTCTGATAAAACACGTGGGGTTGTATAAACACCCCGTTATAAATCTATTCATCCGTTCTAGGGTTATCGTTTTTTCTTCTTGATTATCGTTTTACAGGGTTTTGTGGAACAACCTACAACTTCATGCCTTAGAACCGATAATTTCGTTGATTGTAGTACAATGTACAAGCTTAGTACTGGAACCGCCGCCCCCGTGTGCCGGTGGGATTTTCATTGATTTGTAGTACAAGCTTAGTACTGGAACCGCCGTCCCCGTGAGCCGGCGGGATTTTCATTGAATTGTAGTACAAGCTTAGTACTGGAACCGCCGCCCCTGTGAGCCGGCTGGATTTTCGTGGATTTGTAGCACAAGCTTAGTACTGGAACTGCCGTCCACGGGAGCCGGCTGGATTCTCGTTGATTTGTAGTACAAGCTTAGTACTGGAACCGCCGTCCCTGTGAGCCGGCTGGATTTTCGTTGATTTGTAGTACAAGCTTAGTACTGGTGTCGCCTGCCTGCCGCGATGCAGCAATCGGGCCGTTTTATAACGTTATCGTTTTTTCTCTTGATTATCGTTTTACGAGTCAGGGGCACTGCCCCAAACACTTAGGGCAACTCCTTTCATAAATTGAAGGCGCGGGGTTTTTATACAACCCCATGTGCAGACATGTGTATATAGTGTATATATATATATATGTATATATATATATGTATATATATGTATATATATATATATATATGTATATTGGGTGGGCCTATGCTGAAAAATACCCTATCTACAGACAATATTCGGGAGCTAGTTGCGTTCGCTGCCTCTGCCGCCCCCGACAGGAGGCAGTGAAGTGCCCTAAACCCTAAAGCCTAAACCCTAGGCCCTAAGCCCTAAACCCTAAGCCCTATAAGCCCTAAACCCTAAACTCTAAACCCTAAACCCTGCCTCTGCCGCCCCGGACAGGAGGTCAGTGAAGTGCCTGCCCGCGAACTCCGAGCCTCGCAGGAGCATTGCAGCCAGGCCGGGGGTGTGCTCCACCATGCGAAGATCCTTGGGGACCAAGTGAGGGTTTAGGGTTTAGGGTTTAGGGTTTAGGGATTAGGGTTTAGGGTTTAGGGTTTAGGGACCCTAAAATTGGGGTCATATACCCTATACGATTATATTTGCTATTCAGGTATGTGAACCATAAACCCTTTTGGGGTTAATTTCGTCCCCAAGGATCTTTATCCAGCTCAACCACCGCGTCGCAGATGAGGTGGAGCAAAGATGACGCAGCGTTGAAGTCTGATGCCATCTTCTTGTACTGGAGGCTTCGCTCGATGCGGTAACTCAGTACTAGCTGCAGTGATGCAGCGGCGCAAACAACGACACACAAGCCGGCCAGCTCCCCGAACCATGCTCGCAAGAGCATGGAAGTCATCCAGGATGTTTCGGCAGCTGTCCGTAGCGTGAGCAGGCCTGTGGGTAGCAAGACATTGCACGCGACGACCAGCGCAGGGCTGGTGGCAATGGCCACTGCGGGAATGCGAAGGAAGGCAAGCAGAAACGCGGAGGTTTGTGCCAAACCTTCCGGTGCCACGTGCCACGGCGAGATCAGAATTGTGTTGTAGAGGGAGACCATGACATAGATCGTATTGAGGTTTCCAACACGGAGGCAGGCCGGGAATGCATCGACCAGTGTTGAGACTAACAACGCAAATACCAGGCTCCAAGAAGTAGCGCGTGACATTTCAGGTTCACTGCCAGGATCACGAATTCTACGCAGTGCAACCACACTCAAGACCCCTGCGTGCAGCACGCCGAGGTATCTTATGAACAGGCGTGCGATCTTCAAACGCAGCTCATTTACCTGTTGGTTCACGAGCCTCTCATCCTCCTTCACAGCAGACCCTTCGAATATCTGTCGAACTGACCTCTGGCAACTTCGAATGGCCTGTAGGAGATATACACGGTTCATAAATCCGGAGTAGGCGATTCTACCTACGAAGAGGATCTCCAGCGTTACGACGATCGGTAAAAAACTGGCATCCAGCCTGGTTTCCAGTGAGCTGGTGCCAGAATCCATAATGCCGTGCAGCGAGGGCCACCTAGCTTTCTTCCTTGAGGGCCAAAAGCAACAAAGCTTCATGATACTTGAGGAGCCGCCCTCTTCGCGACCCACACACAAGTGCACTAACACTTGGGATGTTCCCCCTTCTACTAACAATCCTTAATAGGGATTGTAAAACCCCCTATGATAATCCGGAATTTAAGGACTGTTAGTATAGGAGGGAACATCCAAAACGAACACTCTAGAGCACCAGGCTCCTCCCTACGTCACGCGTTCTGTGCACACCTTCCACGACACGTACTTGGTTGAATGGAGGTGATGCAGTTTTGAGAATGAGTACAAATAGTTGCTGAGTACCCGGGGCCGAAAAAGTTAGCCTTTCAATTGTGGTAGGATTCTATATACCCCAGAAGGTTAAAGGATACCTACTCAGCTACTAAGAAGTAAACTGACCTGCTGTAAGAGTATAATCCAAAACCCTAAAACACAAGGCAGATACTTAATCCCTGTTCCCCTAGGAAGAAAAAAGGATCCTTTTTGTTCATATATAAGAAAGCCCATAACCCAAAAAGTAAAAAGGATCCCTAACACTGATCGAGGATAGGACATCATGATCGCCTCCGAAGAAGAGGCTGAGAAGTGATCCTCGCCAAGCCGCCTGCGTGGAAACCCTAATGTTGCACTGCCCCTAAACCCTAAACCCTAAACCCTAAACCCTAAACCCTAAACCCTAAACCCTAAACCCTAAACCCTAAACCCTATCATCACAAGTTTCGAAATGTTCTATTCTGCGACAGCAGTTTGACCCGCTATTGTCACAAGTTCTTCCGGAGGGTTGTCTTTTTCTGGAGTACACAACGTCATGGGGGCCCTCGATGTGTGGTGCGCGGAAGATGGTATGTCGGGCTCCACCACATAGTTTGGAATCTTAGACTATTGGAAAGCCGGTCCCCCTAAACCCTAAACCCTAAACCCTAAACCCTAAACCCTAAACCCCAGAGCATGATGTTGGGTCCCAGACAGCTGTGAATCTTGCAACCTCGGGCCTCGGAACTTGGCTGCACTCAGGAGGGTAGCTATAAATTAAACTTTTAGCTGCCCTACTAAGAAACCCAATAAACCCCAAAAAAGGTAAGGATGTAAAGTTACGGTAAAGTACCACAAAGAGAACTGGGAATTGTGGACTGTGGTATGGGGCCACCTCAAGCCACAATCTTTGAGAACAGGAGTGTAGAAAGCGGGATGTGGAATGCTAGGCGCAAAACCTCTGGGAATTCACAAGGACAGCAAGTCTAGCAATACTAAATAGGATTAAGAGTATCAACGACACAAACACTACGAATAATGCTGATGCTGCTTATCTAGCCTTAATCATGCGAGCACTGGTACTATTAATCTTGCAAGCCCCCGAGGCCGAATGTCTTACTGCGTTTTGTGCTGCGCGCAAGACGCAAAAACCAAAAAAAAAACAAGCACTGCACCACAAACACAATCACGGTATACGCACACAGGCCACATGTAAACCTTAAACCCTACCGTAAACTGTAGACCCGAAAATGCCCCTTAAGTCCCGTACTCGATAGCCCAGTAAGCGTATTATAATTAGGGCACCCTTTTTTGGATTGGTTACTTTATTAGGGAACCTTGAACCTCAAAAAAGGAGAAAGGGTACCACTGGGCTACCAAGCGTAATTCAGCCGAACCCCCAAGGCTTTGGCGACTGAATGTACCCAACAAGTGGGATCCAATCCCCCCATGGTACTCCAATCCGTAAAGTTTAAGTGTATGGACCACTACAGGGGTACACCGCAACCATCCCGCTGAGAAAACTTACAACCCGGGCTCTATACTTAAACCCTAAGCCGTAAACCCTAAGGCCATAAGGGGACCGAAGAACTACGTACGACCCCCAACCATAAACACTACATCCTGGACCCCGAGGTAAGACGGCTTCAAGTTCTTACGTGGTTTAGGGTTTAGGGTTCAGGGGTTTAGAGGTTTTAGGGTGTGATGGGGTTTGAGGGATACGGTGCAGGAGTTCACTAGTTGAGCGATGCCTTGTTTGGATGCAAGAGGCCCATTAACGGGAACCCCAGAACAGGCCACAACCTAGAGAGCAACCCCAAACCCTACATCCTAAACCTTAAGCCCTAAACCCTAAACCCCAAACCCTGAAGATCATGAACTTACCCAGGCGCCCAAAATAGCCCAAATAGCTCAAATAGCTCAAATAGACCCTGAACCCTGCACTAAACCCTCAGCCCACACTCTTTTAACTCCAGCCCGGGGGTTACGGTCCCAAAGACCTAAACAAAAAAAAGTCATAAGCCTAAACGGACCTTTTCGCTAAGTAGGGCCTAGGGTATTTAGGGTTTAGGGTCCAGGGTTTGGGGTTTAGGGTAATACCCCTAAACCCTAAACCCTAAACCCGGACATTTGTCTGCACGAAGGTACAGTGCCTCATCCCACAAAAGCCGATGGAAGGCCGTGGACGACCAGGCCAGCTTTGCGACAGCGCCTGCTCCCGTGCGAAGCAAGAAGGCCACATGACGTAGGGTTTGGCGTTTAGGGTTTTGGGTTTAGAGTTTAGGGTTTGCGGTTTGGGTTGAGGGTCTAGGGCTTGGGGTTTAGGGTTTAATTAGGGTTTGGGGTTTGGGGTTTGGGGTTTGGGGTTTGGGGTCCCCTATCACATGTGTACATATACACTCACCAACAACAGCAATACACATCCCACTCCATATAGCAGGAGCCACCCGATAGTGAGAAGTCAAGCAGCAACCACAAACCCCAAACCCTAATCCTATCTAAGTGTAGTTACATGGTCACTTAGTATGGGCCCGTAAAGGGGGGCCCCTTACATATAGCCTGTATATACCCAAGGGCCCGTACATCAGAACCCTGTAGCTAGGCTGACCAGTAACCTAGGCTGAAAAAGGGAATAAGGGTACTACTGGCCATCCTAGGTAAGGAAGGTAAGGGGCCCTCTTAAGTAGAACTACCCTCAGACACCTCCAAAGGCTCCTTGGCTACACCCTAAACCCTAAACCCTAAACCCGAAACCCTAAACCCTTGGAAAATCTCGGCCTTGGTCCTCGCAGCTTGCAGCATAGGTTGCCTCAGGCAGGCTCGCACGCAGCTACTAAGATAAGGGCAAGGAACACATGGAGCGGGAAGCAACTCCGAACTGGACCTACTTGGAGGTTCGTGGTCCTTCATAACCAACAGGGTACTTCTTAACCAATATAAGTGTATTAGGGTTTAGGGTTTAGGGGTACTGATTTACCACTTAGAGCTGTATTTCTAACCTACTTATAAGCCCCTTAACTACCCTAATCTGGTTATAATTGGGTTAGAAGTGCAGTTACTATTTAGTTTGTAATACCATGAACCTCCAAGCACTTGCTTTGCCAAGGCTTGCCTGGGAGTCTTTTTACCTAGACTTTAGTAAAAACTACCCCGTAATTAGCAGATATACATAGTAAACTCCAAAAAGTTGGAACATCCTTATCCCCATACCCCAAAAGGAATCCCAGCACTAACCATCCGAGGACCATGTTCCATCTTGCTGAGGCTCACTGTAACCCATAAAACTGTAGGTAAGGTAGGGTTTAGAGGCTTCGGGTTTACCTTAAGACCCCAAAGCTACTTTTGCAGGCTATTATTCTAAAGCGCCTTCTATTCTCGCAGTCTTGGGTCACCTACACAAAAGTAGGCTTTGGCTCCTTAAGGCAGGGCTCCAGCCAGCGGAGCGTTTGACTTTCGTCAACCCTGAACCTCATAGGTTCCGCTACTACCCCCCCTCTATACTACCCCCCCCCCCCAAAAAAAAAAAAACTGCGGCTATATTTAGGGATACTTCGGCCTAACTAAGGTTCGTTTGAGGGGGGGTTTAAGGGGCGGTAAGCTAGGGGGTACGTAGTAGAGACCCTAGACCCTAGACCCTAAACCCTAAACCCCAAAAGATTAGTAGGGAAACCCATTGAAAACCAGGGAGTCGCCAACCCCTTCTCATCTTGCGGCTCGGCACCACAGTGATCCAAATCTCAGGGCTGAGTCTCGCCAGGTACAAGCCTCACACTCACAGCCCTAAACCCTAAACCCTAAACCCTAAACCCTAAACCCTAAACCCTAAACCCTAAACCCTAAACCCTAAACCCTAAACCCTAAACCCTAAACCCTAACCCTAAACCCTAAACCCTAAAACCCCAAAACCCTCATATGTTTTCTATCTTTACACTTGTATGTACGTTCATGCTTGGGGGGGGGGGGGGGGGGGGGGTTCCCAAAAACGGCTCCACAAGTTAGAGAATTCCCCATCTGCCCTATTCTGCAGTTTCAGTTTTCAGGGAGCGGTTGGCATGTATGGCTTAGGGTTCAAGGGGGGTTGGGTGTTATTTCGATGCTTACGGCTTGGGAATCTGCAAGATTTCGGGGAGCAGGCTACATGGGGTGATTCAGGGTTTTAGGGTTTGGGGTTTAAGGGTTTTAGGATTTCAGGGTTTTAGCGTATTGTAACAAGTTGAAGAATTTTCGATTCCATATCCCTAGAGATGTATGTATAGATAGCTCGCTCAGGAATCCCTACATCGTTTTAAAGCGGGTTTGGGTTAGGGTTTAGCGATTCGGATAGTCCTGAATGGAATTTGGAGTATTGCAATCGAATGGCCCATCCCGCCAAAACCCTAAACCCTAAAACCCAAACCCCTAAACCACAAAACCCAAAACTCAAAACCCCGAAACCCAAAACCTTTAGAACGACCTCCCCTGTTATCGTAAGCCCCCTAGCAGACGCATGCGGGGCTGCCACTATACGTACTCCCTTTAGGACCTTAATAAAAATATTACTTTTAATATCCTCTTGGGCTTTATATGAATAATTTTACTTCGAACATCCCCACCCTCTCCTGGTAGAGATACTCTAGGTTTGGGCACTCCAGGGATACTCTGGGGCTGCACTCCGATGGTGGACTCCGGGGACACTCTGGAGGGAGACTCTGGGGTTGGGCACTCCAGGGGTTGGGAACACTACTCTGGGGTTGGGCATTCTGGAAGACTCTGGGGCTGGGAATCCGGGAACATTCTGGGGTTGGGCAAGCTCTGGGGCTGGGAACTCCGGGGACACTCTGGGTTGCTCCAGGGAGACTCTAGGGAGAGCCTGAAAATGGGCACTCCAGGGACACTCAAGAGTTGGGCACTCCAAGGACACTTTGGGGTTGGGCACTCCGATGAGCGAGGAGTAGACCGGGCGAGGAGAAGAGTTCCGGGCGAGGAGAAGAGTTGAGTTTAAAATCTAACAACCCCACACCGAGGGTGGGGAACAAAAATAAGAAATAATTCTCAAGGGGGATATAGGCCATTGCTACATCTCGAACCAGCACGCCCCCATGCCCCAATAGGGTTTCGGGTGTCGGTTTTAGGGGTCAAAGCTCACCTAACACTCTCTTTGCCTACAGTTTTATGAGTTCTGCCTACATATTAAGGGGTAACTACCACTAAACTGTAGGTGAAGAGAGTCCCATGTAGGGTCTAGGAGTTTAGGCTTGAGGGTTTAGGGCTCGAAAGTGTCGAGGCCCCATCCTTATTAAGGACTGTCAAGGGGGAACACCCCAACCCTAAACTCACAGGACGAAGCCTACTAAAAACCCTACACCCTGAACTTCGAAGCCCGAACCTATCAAGGCACCACGCCGTAAACGCCAAACCCAAGAAGCCCAAGGCCTAAACCCACACGATAAACCGGTTCAGGGTTAAGGGTGGTTTGGGGTTTAGGGTTTAGGGTTTGGCGCCAACCCCTGCCTCCTCGCTGCCCACATGTAGCTGCCGGCGCACGTTCCGGCGGCACGCCTTGCAACAGCCATCTCTGGAACTCCACTGGGAGGTTCATGGTACTTACTAACCACTTATAGCTGTACTTATAACCCTACTGATAATACCCCTAAAGGGCCTTATTTATAGGGGTTATTATAGGGGTTATCCCAATTATAAGTAGGGTTATAAGCCCAGTTATAAGTGGTTATGAAGTCCCATGAACCTCCAAGTAGGGAGGTTCAGTATTTTGGCAGGTCTAGGCCTTCCCCCACTGTAGTTCCTGATGGGTCAGGGGATACGGGTTCTACAGGCCACTGGAAGGTCCAGGGTTTACGTGCAGTGGTTTAGAGGGATGTTAAGGGTCTTTCTGCACCAGAACTTGCCGACTCCCCCCCCCTCCCCTCCCGGCGGGTTTCCCTGCCCCGCACTGTAGTTCCTGGTGGGTTTATATCGGAGATAAGGGTCATAATAGGCCTTGTTCGGGTTTTGGTTTGGCTTGAGAGTTCAGGTTGTTTCCTTAGTTCCGGACGCCCAAACCCGAAATCCGGGGGGGGGGGGGGGGGGGGGGATGCCACAAAGATCTGCACTCAATCAGCCCTGGACAGACACCCCAAACCACAGACTCTCTTCCGTAGCGAATCAGGAATTCGAAGCCGAGAACTCTGAACACGAGAACCCCCCCTGAACACGAGAGCCCTAAACCCTGAGCCCCAAACTCAGCCCCCCCCAACCGCCCAAGCAAGTAGTCTCAACACCCTAAACACCTAAACCCCATGTAAAAAACTGAGCCCGAAGAAAGCTCAAAAGCTGATGTCGGCCGTGGCGCAAACTGCCTGCATTCTGAGCCAGCCCTGAGAGGATCTCGAGGGTAGCGCCCCCTTCGAAGGTTCCTACAAATATTTCCCAATGGTAGGATGCTTCGTAATGCTAAACCCTTGAACCGAATAGTCGTACAACATACCTAAACTGTAAAGACCCTAATGGCACAAGACGCTAAAACCCCATACCCGACACCCGAAAACCGTAAACCCTAAAAAACCCCAAACCCTATAAAAACCCTAAACCCTAAGCACTATAAAGCCCTAAACCCTGTAAAGCCCTAAGCCCTAAACTCTAACCCTAAGCCCAAAATTGGGGGTCCTACTTTCTAGATCCTCCCAGGGCTTGCTAGTCGCCGGCCATGGCTTTCGAGCTGTCGGCGTGCTTCACAGGGAGGCGCCGGAGGGGAGGTGAGTTTAGGGTTTAGGGTTTAGGGTTTAGGGTTTAGGGTTTAGGGTTTAGGGTTTAGGGTTTAGGGTTTAGGGTTTAGGGTTTAGGTCTGGCGAGGGGTTAGGTTCGGTCTGAGGGGTCCAGGGGCATGTACGGCGTGAGGGCTTTCTGCAGCTTGCGGGGCTTAGGGTTTTTGAGGGGCCTTGATGCGTTAGGGTTTAGGGTTTAGGGTTTAGGGTTTAGGGTTTAGGGTTTAGGGTTTAGGGCTTGCCAGGTGTGTAGAGGTGTTTGGGGGGGGGGGGGGGGGGGGGGGGGGAAGGGGATGTCAGAGACTTTCGCAAAGTTCTCCGAGCAGCTTCAGAGCCTCATGGGTGACGGCGCAGCATGTCACAATCACACTCACAGACACATGCAGGGGTTTAGGGTTTAGGGTTTAGGGTTTAGGGTTTAGGGCTTAGGGTTTAGGGTTTAGGGTTCTTGAAGACGGGTCTTTTTCGGTGCTGCTTCTCGGGTTGAAAGGAGACTCTGGAGCAGAGTCCCCAGGATGTAGGGTCCATTCCAGCAATAAAGGTGCAAAGCTGTCTTCCGCAGCCCTCCACCATCTAAAGCCAGCAACACGAGCATCAAAAGGTGCTCTTTTGCGCAGTGGGGTGTTTATGGGAGCTAACCCCCCATGGAAGTACTGCTGCGCACCCCGAGCCCTTATAACCTCTGCTCCTACATTTGTGCTGGTTCTTATGAGAAGAGCCCTTAAAGCAGATTTCTTTGGTACTTAGCAGTGTAATAAGGGCACCCTGTTTGGGGCTGGTTACTTTCTAAGGGAACCCAGCAACCAAAAACAACAAAAAAAGTCTGGGTACCACTTAACCCTAAACCCTAAACCCTAAACCGTAAACCCTAAACCCAGCTACCAAGGGTAATGCCTATAAGAGCCAAACCCGGGGGGGCCTGCTGCGTTTGCGCGTCCAGGCGCATCTCGCGGAATCTCTGCGCGTGCGCCTCGGAAGGCTTTAGGGTTTAGGGTTTAGGGTTTAGGGTTTAGGGGATGTGGCCGCTTCTCTGAATTAGGGTCCCTTGCTGGTTACACAAATGTGCCGCCTTGTTCAAAGGACCTCAAGAAAGAAAATGTTTTAGAGAAGTCCTCATGGGGTATGGGGTGCTTTGTTTGGGGTTCGGGGGAGAGCGTTTAGGGCGGGGGGTAAAAACATCATGAACCCTAAGTCCCAAAGCCTTCGCCCTATGGGCTTCGCATGGCTTATGGCGGGTTTTGGGGTTGTTTGGCTTCTGAACAGGGTTTAGAGTTTAGAGTGTAGGGTTTAGGGTTCTGCAGGCGCCCCGGCGTGGTTGAGCGGCAACACCGGCAGCGCGGAGATCTCCAAGGCAGCCTGGTGGGAACGCATTCAGCTCCAAACACTAGACCCCTACACCCGTAAACCCTAAGCCTTATAGTCAAATAGTGTAGACAACCCTCATGTAGGCTACACTGTGTGAAGCCCAGTCACCATATTGCAATGATGATGATGATGATGATGATGGTGGTGGTGATGATGATGATGATGATGACTCAGGGGGAGGCGTGCAAAGGACCCATGTTCTCATTAAGGGCCAAGGCCTTGGTTGGTGAATGCGGGCCCTTGTAGGCCTCTCCCTTAAAACCGCCGAACACCAAAACATTAAACCAACATAAACTCCTTTCAGCCCCAACGCCCCCCCCTTTATATCCTTAACTTGGGATTTTCC